ACCTTTCCTAGCTGTCAGATTGTCTTATACATGCAGACTGCCCACAAAACAATACCAGAACTCTGCTTTCTCTTCATGCACAGTGTCTAGATGAGGCTTGATACTGACTGTAGTTTAATAAGATGGTTTATTTTGCAAGAGACAGGCATTGTTTGATCATCTTTTCAATCCATTTAGCAAAAGAAAACACAACGTTGTGTTTGAGTGTCGCTCTTTTGTGTGTCACGTGTTTGCAAGGAATATTTGCTTTCTTTTATAGCATCTGCACAAAGACAAGAACAGCTCAAGAATTACAATCTTGTGCACTCTGTTGCTCTGTTTTGAACAAGCATGCTATATCCCTATTGAGCAGGCGAATGGATACGCATATTCAGCTAGCTTTTTTAGATGCCATAGAATAAAACCTTGAACAGAAATAACAATGAAAGGATATCCCCCGCCTCTCTTTCCACACCGCACGGTTTCACTTCAAGTGCATCTGCTTTTATCTCAAGCAGGACATCTGGTTGCGCTTACGGCCTGTCCAAAAGTGTGATTCATCTCCTCCTTTTTGCCCCGTTCGCCTTCAAATTCATCCGCCTCTCCAGCTTGTTTTCAGCCTTCGCCAGGTGAATTATCCGAGAATAAAGGCTCTTCAGCCGGGGCTAGTTTGCATCAGATGCTAAATTGTTGGTTTTGAACTACCCGGTGCTGTATGATTAGCCTAGCTTTAATTTCCCCCCTTCAATTCACTTACAATGCACACGGCTCGGTCTAATGGAGACCACATTCTCCTCTCCGGGTCTTATGTGCTATTTCCATGGACGTCAGACCTGCTGCTCGGTGCTAGCCCGCTGAAAGGGACGCTGATTGAGCCCCACGCACCTCTTTCTCGAGGTTCACAATTCGGTGGATCAGAAATCAATTATGTGTGATCGTGACAAATGACTCGGGGGGCCTGCTGTTTGAGGGACATCACAAATGAATCAATCAAGCCTTTATCAGGGCAAATAGAAACCCCTGTGCATGCTCTGAATGTGTGTGCCTGTGCATATGCATGTCTGTTATGTGGAGATATATGGGTGGGGGAGCTAGGATGCTGATGCGGTGTTAACCATATTGCTGCTGGGACAGATGGAAGATGGAGAGAGCGGCAGGGGGGGAGGCTCTAGTGCATGCGGCGTTGGCTCAGTGCCTGCCGTACAGGACCCCGTTTGGCCTCCACGGCTGATTAGAGGTTAATGGTTTAAGAGTGTGTGGGGACTCTGCCGTGATTGGCCAAAAGGCTCTCGAGTGGGCGTGTCCTAGGGGTGGCAGATGGCGTGGATATAGTGAGGCTATAAGTAAATGAATGAAAAAGGAGGACTCCTCTCCTGTTCCCTGATCAGTGGCCATCGCAACGGTGTGAGCTCCCCCTATACGCCTCCCTCCCCAACAGATGGCCATTGGAGCTCAGTGGCTAAAATGACTCCGAACGCTCAGGTTGGATGAGCGGGCATTGCCAGCAGATTAATTATGACTGTTACACATAAACAGAGAATCGTAACGTGGCCGGCTGACCCTGTTGTGTTGTGATGATGCTACGAAGCTTGGTGCCATGATTAGAGTCTGCCCAAGAGGGGTAGTTTCCTGAGAGAAAACAGTCTCCTGTCATATGGACGGTGACACTGAAGCCCACAATCGTTCTCCAGAGATGTGGTACTCGTCTACTTCACCCAAACTCTGTTTGATTGTCTAAATGTGTAAGAACATCCATTTGAAGTTACTTTTGAAGGTTTTTGTTTGTGTCTCATGCATGAGGAATGGATGCACATCTGTTTTTAGCACTTTTTCTGCAGTTGGAGTTTGGTTTGATGTTCTAGTTTCTTCTACTTTGTCACTCACCTAGTTTCCTTTGCTGCCAGTTTAAAGTTGACATTACTAAGAGTTTGGCTTCTATTTTAATGCTATTCTTTTATTGCGGTTTAAAATAAACTTTGGTGGTGATATGGCATAAAAAACTCTTAATTCTTAATAAGTAATTATTAAATAATTATTATCGTTTCAAATTCTATAAGAATAATAAAATCCACACCATAACTATAACAATAACATCACAGAGGAATGTTGACAGCCAAGCAGAATCCACCTGGCATTAAAGATCTAGAGCATTTAAAGCAACAGACGACATAACTGCAGCACACACTTATAATAAACAGATTGTTACTGTGCATTGGTATGGACACAAATATAGTTATTGTTATAGTTAGCGTTCTTGGTGTGAACGGACCTTAACACTTGTGTACAGTTTAGCAGGCCTCTGAAAAATGACGAAATCATGTGTTGTGCCTGGTGCGGACACAACAGACACGCTCGAGAGTTTCTTTGTGTGGTCACTAGAGCAGTTTCATTATGAGAGAGAGAATAAAAAGACAAGGAGGGCTCTTCATGTCCATCAGTAGCAGATGCATGCTCTCTCCAATGCAACCCCTGTCACATGAGCCTATGGGCTCATCTGCTCTTTCATAACCCCACCGACGGATCACGTCATAGATGCCCATCATGACCGATCCTAATACACGTCGCACAGAAATCCACCATCACTGATCAGCATATTTTGTAATAGCTGTGCTTACTAAGGCTATTGGTGGTGTTATTATTATTATTGGTACTATTACAATATTTAAACAAACCCCTAAACGTCAGCATTAAATTTCAGTATAAAGTGTAATTATTTGTACTGTAGACATGAATGATATCTGTTTTTTTTTGTTTTTTTTACTTGGACCAGTAATACCCTAGCAAAAATTATTTATATTACTATATATAATTATATATACAGTATATTGATATAAAATTGCTTTTTTTATTACTAATTGATGTGATGTAAAAGGAGGGAATCCCAAAATGTTTTGGATTGTGGAAACATTTAATTTGCACTTCAACACTTATTCTCTCTTACTCTTTATTATGAACATAAAAGCCCCAAGTCATCCCTCTGAAAAAGCAGATTCTGTATCTAATAAGGGTTGATACATAGGAGGAGTGGACTTGGACAGTGCAGAACAGCAGAATGACTCCTCTTAAAAGCAGCTGGGAAATGTACTTATTTCAGCCACCATTACCTTTAACCATTATCATTGTAGGGAGGCTTGCTCGGCTCCATTTGATACTGGGTGGGATGTGTCCTTCATGTGACTAATGCGACTCGGCGGTTTGAAAGATCAAGCAAAACTGATGGTGATAGCCAGTTCAAATTCAGGCCTGTTTAGTCTCAGTTGTAGTTTTTGCAGTCTGAGATAATGCATGATCTGATAATGCAAAGTTTCACATGAAGGCACCCTCATTATCTGGGGTATTTTTGAAATGTAAAACAATTCAGTCTTTGCATACGTTGTGGTAGGCAAGATGAGCCGTTGTTTGCCTTGCAAACATGTATTGGGCTTGACACATGTTTTCATAAAACCCTTCCATACATCATGTTTTGCAAACAGGATCAGCCTTATAGCACATTCGCAGTCGATGCCTCAGAGCTGCGCCAGCTCCGTTAAGTTGCGACACCATCAGTTGTGGCACAGTGAAAACGCACACTTTGATCATTCTTGCTGTAGTCCTTAAAAGAAAAATGAACCTTATAAATGCACTTCCTTCTTATACACATCCTGTGGACATTTGTCTCTCTAACCAAATTCACTTTGAACTCCGCATTGTGCCAAAAGTAATTTGCAACACATAGGGGCACTCCCTCTCCTTTTCTGTCTTTTATCAAAATGAAAACAGACATCGCCATAAACTCCCCTTAATCAGATGGCTCTGTTGTGTTGGCTGTGCCTGAAAGGGTTTGGCAGTAAATTGGACGTCGGATTTCTTTTCTCCAAAATCTCGGGGCTGAGGAGGGGGCCGACTTCTCAGAAGAACTCGTCTGGAAAAGCCTTTTGTGGGATTTGGCAAGGGAACAGCCGGCTTTGCTCATGCTTATTAGGCACCCCTGTCGCACCAGCCGAACCTTAGAATTAATTGTGATGTGTGCGGTTGTCTGATTCCCTGCACATGTGTGTATATATGTGGGCGCATGTAAAGACACCTAGCTCTGGTGTAGTTTGTTCTGGTCACGGAGGCTTTATTTGTCAGCTGGACACATTTCTGGGCATATGGGGTGGTAACGAATGAGACTTGCCCTGCCTGTTCCTGTCGACAGCCTGTTCCTTGAATCATTTCAGCTGTTGACTCTGCAAGGATATATGGGATCCTGATTCTGTTACTTGTAAGCTTATATAGTGATTTGAGATTCAAATGATCTCTGAGCCCATGTAGTTTCCTGTGCATTGTGATGAACAGCTCTATTGCAATGGTTTAGAGTGATACAGTAATTCTAGTCCCCCAACCCCCTTCCTTTGGCTTCCATCATTAATAATTTAAGAGTCAAAGTGAAGAATGAGCCCTCCTATTGGCCACAGAGACATGCGTACAGTCTTTCTTCCTTCATGATTTTGGTTCTTTGGTTCTCTAGGATGTTGCAGAAACTGGAACCAAAGCAACATCTTTTCATGTTTGATATTAAAGGGGTCATATGATGTTGCTAAAAAGAACATTATTTTGTGCAGATGAATCTAATGTCTCCAAAAAAGGCTTTAGACCAGTATCTTCAGATATTTTGGGGATTTTGAGTAAAGTGATGGATTTTTTAAATGACATTTTAAGGGCCTTTCACAGCCAATTTCCTATAGGGCACTACTGTAGCATGATCTACTAGGATTTGGAGATAGCACTTTGCAATTGGATAGCATCTCACATATCTTGTGGTTTGGTAACCACTAGCTACCAAACTAGTCTCTTGTACAATCAAACAATCAGATGTGGATTTGGTAGCAGCCTAATTTGCCTTTAGCCATTCCTGGTAACCAATCTTGATCCATTTACGTTCACGCAGTTGAGAATGAGAATTGTTTACGACCAATGAAAGACATTTAATCATTGCTGCTCAAATTACATCAAATGTCATTGTTAACTTAAACTTTTTCTCTCTGCCTCTTCCTGTGCAGGTTTTCACCTCAGTGGCACAGTCACAGAGCCGGCAATGCAATCCGAGCCAGAGACGACGCATAAGGTGGCCATCAGCTTCGATCGCTGTAAGATCACGTCAGTAACATGCGGCTGTGGCAACCGAGACATCTTCTATTGCGCACACGTGGTGGCGCTGTCCTTATACCGCATCCGCAAACCCGAGCAAGTCAAACTGCGGCTGCCCATCTCAGAGACACTCTTCCAGATGAACAGAGACCAGCTGCAAAAGCTGGTGCAGTACCTTATCACAGCCCACCACACAGAAGTGCTGCCCACCGCCCAAAAACTGGCAGATGAAATCCTGTCCTCCAACTCTGAGATCAACCAAGTACATGGTGAGCAGCATAAATAAAGTCACATGACCAAAATGCCTTTTCAACAGTCAAATGTTCCATAGAGTTTAGAAAAAAAGCTTTATTCAACACATTGTGCAAAAATAAATTCCACCTCTTCCTGATCGTTTATCCAAGGAGCCTCCAAAACCAAAGTCCATCCTCTTGCCCTCTGACCTTGTTTTAAATAGGAATGAAGGGGTCAGGCAGAAGCCCCTTATCAATGTTTAATCAGTGGCTACACTTTGAATCCGGAATGTGCAGAATGTGTTAACCTGCCAAGATGTTGGTTCAAAAGTGCAAAAGGACACCTACGTCCTGCTTATACAAAGACACTCAGCACCTTCTGTTTATAGCAGTTTGTGTCTCACTAGCCCATTGCAGCCATTATAAAGCCATTAAGTACACTAATAATTTACTATTATTCTGAACAGGGTTACAGTCTACCGCAATCTAAAGCATTACAAGTATTTCAAAGCACTTTACAATCCAGCACAGCTGGCTCCTTAGATATCCTGTACGTTGTAGATACGCTCATAGTATATAACACCAATGCTTATGTCACGCTGATGTTAATCTACTGTATGGAAGTTATTGTTGCTCCCCTAAGTCCACCCAAGCCTTTTAAGAGCTAATCTCTAACTCAAGATGGATCTTCTTATCATATAACACATGCCAAGGGCAGGGAAACATGCAAGCGATGCAGAATCAACCGTTCCGCATCCATATATAGTGTTTATATGTGTTTAATACCCACAGGGGCACCCAAAGGGGGCCAATAGGCAGATCAACTCCCTGTGCAGTCTGTATATGAAGCAGCTTCATGGTGACTTTAAGTGGAATTCAATAGGGCTGAATGTGCTGATGTATTTTGTTCTGGAATGGGGGGTTGTAAACCTAAAGTGCATCGACATATTGGTAAGACCTTCCTCAGATAAAGTGATTGCTTCTAATGCATTTTGCTTGTCTTCCCTTTTTTTCTTTTGCAAATCACAGTGGCAATGGGCAGCAATCTTTTAAGAATCGAGCCTTGATAGCTATGATTTGACTCACCTCAGTGGTATTATAGGTTTGTAATGGTAAAAAAAATATATGGGTATTTTGCCAAAAGGAAGTGATTTTATTGATTTTGGCTGTGGTATAGAGTAAGCAGGCTTAGGAAATGCCGTTTTCAAGGTGTTAATGTGTACAAGCAGATTTTTCTGTCTATTGTTGAATTACATTTTTTTTTTTTACCGAAAAATGATACATGTTATTGCTGAAAGCATCCAAAGTTAACCGGGTGTATTTCTCTCCCAGGGGCCCCGGATCCCACAGCAGGGGCCAGTATTGATGATGAGAACTGCTGGCACCTGGATGAGGAGCAAGTGAGGGAACAGGTCAAGCAGTTCCTCTCTCAGGGAGGATACTATGGCTCAGGCAAGCAGCTCAACTCCATGTTTGCCAAGGTGAGATGCTCGCTCAGTGCGAAATGTGCTATTATGGTGAATTATGGGCCCATGAAATCCTAGGAGGCCCATTTAAATCTGTATTATTCAAGCTGCCTCTTATTTTCAGTAGCCAGCGCAGTTCATTGCTTTATCTGTCTGTCATCTGAAAATTTGAAGAACTGCACTACAGCCTTTGACATTGATGCTGAATATAGTGCTCAAACATACACATGCATTCTGATCTCACAGTCTTTTCAGCTAAAACACTTGTGCCGTTTTCACTCTATAAGATGCTTTATATACTAATTACTTGCTTTGTTCTTCAAAATATGATGCTGATTTTTGTTAGATACAGATTTGTGGTAGTCCTATACATGATGTATGAGGTTAAACCAGGATTTTTGTGCAGGTGAGGGAAATGCTGAGGATGCGCGACTCAAACGGGGCTCGGATGCTCACGCTCATCACGGAGCAGTTCATGGCTGACCCGCGCCTATCTCTATGGCGACAACAGGGCACAGGCATGACAGACAAATGCCGACAACTCTGGGATGAGCTGGGTGAGTTTTTTCTTCTCAACCTGTAGGGCACGTTTTTCAGTCATTATCCTCGTTTGTCCTGGAACATCATTCTTATCAACCAATCAGAGATTTTAGGGGTTAGTTAGAAGGTTTGGCCTATGGCTGTTTAATAGGATGTGGTTCCTTTATCAACAACACATGTTGATCCAGGAACGTGTCCTACTAGGCCAAATCACATTTTGAGCAGCATAGAACAATTAGCCCAATTTCATATTTGAACACTGACATACATCCTCATCTCTCTTCTGTACTTCTACAGAATTGAACCTTAATCATTAGTACTTACTCTTCTGCTCCTTGGTTCAATATCCTTAGCCTTAAGCACATTCGTGCATGTGCACCGTCTGACCTGCAGCAGTTCAGTCAGGGCAAGTGGATCAGAGCACGACTGACTTAGTCTGCGGCACATGCAGAGGACCGGCCAGCCGCCACTATCGGGATGGCATGAAAGGGCCAGGATCAATGAGTTTTAAAGCTGCCTCATATTGATCGGGCCATTTAAAGAGGTTGATGAGAGCACATCCTGAAGAGGCTCATTTGAGAGCTGCGTCTCTGGCATCCTCTTCCTTCGAAACGGTTGTAGCTGTAAACAAGGCGCACCTGTCGGGTTGACCACGCATTCTGATTTTGCAAGAGCAGGCGCATCACTGTGACCGGAGCGTCTAATAAATGTGCAAGACAGTTCAGTGTTTTAGTTGACAGCCACTCTGATCGGCCGAAGCTCAGCAATTTGGCCAATCAGGGCTGCATGTACATGACAGCAATGGAAAAAGACGCAGGCCAGCCATCTGTTACCTAGATACAAAAAGGCATCGCCAGTTACACGAGCCCACCAGACAACCTTACACCTGCCAAATTTCATATGCTCCCCAGTGCCAGTGTTTGACATTGATGCGCTAGAGCCGGATCTATTAAATGCGCTGATTTTCCACTTCACATTTTGGAACAAATCAAAAGCTGCGTTCAAGACTAAACCAGTTAAAAGTGTTTAAAAATGGGAAAAGTGGCATCCTAAGATTCAATATCTCCTTTCTTTTCCCTTTTATGCTCATTTTACCTTTTTAGTTTCTCCCTCGCTCATTTATAAGCCACACTTCAGTTATAAAGACGTCTGTGCACTGTGGGTTTGCAGGTGCGTTGTGGGTGTGTATCGTGCTGAACCCGCACTGTAAAAGTGAAGAGAAGAGCGGCTGGCTGAGACAGCTGAAGAAATGGGGAGACATGGACATCTGCCCTCTAGAGGATGGCAATTACGGCAGCGAGCTGCCCAACATCACCAACGCTCTGCCACAGAGCAACCTGGCTCAGGGTAAGCCTCCGTTCAGTTGATCTAAACCTGAGATTATCCACTTATCCCTATGTCTGTTGCTTATATAACTATGCTTTACTCTGCATAGACTCACTGGCCCGGCCTAGAAGAACGGTGTTCACGAGAGCAATGGAGGCCTGTGACCTGCATTGGCAGGATAGTCACTTGCAGAGAATCATCAGTAGTGACTTCTACATGTCCCCGGCTTACCAGAGAGAGGGAGAGAGCCTGCTCTTCAACCCCCAGGGCCTGCCACTGTGGCTGGGTGCATATTTTATATACTTCTCAGCCATTTCAAGCTATGTTTTTCCTTGTTGATTCTGTTCAGAGCAGCCAGTCAATACGGAAATCTCTACAGAGTTTTTCCTACATCATACTCTTGAACAATAAAAAGGCACGTTCACACCACTATAAAGTTTTAATAATCACTCTAATTCTATGAGAATAGGGAAGCCCACACCACAGCTATAACAATAATGATACAGAGATATGATATCGTTGCAATCACTTTTTCAGCTGAAGAACAATCTTTGTTCTTGGTGTTAAAGAACCTTAAGTCTGAGAGGAATTTGTCGCTCTCCGTGAGACCCTTCTTGCTGTGTGACGTAATCTGTCTGATTTCACTTCTGCATGATCCCGCAGCTTCCATTACAGTTTTGTCTGAAATTGAAACCGTCCCATCTGAAAGGAGCCCCATCTTATTTATACTGTCATGTGACTTGTTCCAGATCACGTGCCTACAGCATGCGCCAGGGTGGATGCTCTGCGTTCCCATGGTTACCCCAGAGAAGCCTTGCGACTGGCTGTTGCCATAATCAACACCCTCCGGCTCCAACAGCAACGGCAATTAGACATATACAAGCATCAGAAGAAAGGTAACACACATTGATCTGCTTTGCATAACATACGGCCTTACTCCAAGTGCTCATGACTGTACACATGAATTTATTGTTGTTAATCAGAAGCTAAAACTTTCCGAGAGTGACCATTTCAACGTATATATGTAGAAATTAAAATAAAATTGCAGGACTTTACATTTTTCTCAGAGAAATTTTATGAACAGGTTTCATAGTAATTTAAGTATTGACATGTTGATTCATATGTTCCTAATACAAGTAAACATCTTCTGTCCTCAGAACTGCTGCAGAGGGGAATGACCAACACCACCAATCTGGAGGGCTGGGTGGGCCACCCCCTCGACCCCATTGGCTGCCTTTTCGCCACTCTCACGGAGACGTGTCGAGTGGAGGATGACAATACCATGGATACTGGAGGTACACTATTATAGGCTGTCATTGGGCTTCTGTCCTTTTACGACTCTCTGAGACACCTTGAGCATTATTCGGTTCCTCACTCAGCAACTGGCCTGTGTCTTTGAGAGCTTCATTCAGTCTGCTGGAGCCCCATCTCCTCGCTCTTTACAATTGCCCTCCTTTTCTGAGCAGTGTTAAGGGGTGCTATTGTATCAGAAAGGTCATTCTGCCCACTCAGTGGTATAAAACGTATAAAATCAATCAGCATTTGCATTCCATACATCCCTCCCAGCTCAGGCCAATGGAAAGTGTCGGCCATTGTATTCCTGTAGTGAGGAACCCACAGAGAGGCATTGTGTGCCTGAATAATACTGGCAAATGGTACTGTGACTTGGAAGAGTTTGTGCATATCTGTGCGCTTGTCCCGTCGTAGCGCTCCCCGTTTGGCCACGGTCGTGTTGGGTTGTGTGTGCGCCTGTTGTGCATTACACTGTATGTTTGTATGTGTGCTAGAGAGCATAGCTCTTTGTTTGACTCTGTTGCACAGTTGGAAACATCTGGCATGTGCTGGGATGGGGGCGGACTCTTGGTTTTATCCAATCAGAATGTCCGAAGGTCAGGATCTTAACTTAGCAGAACCAGCAACAGCAGCTGTAGCGGCGGCAGCAGCAGTGTGGAAAGCCAAAACAATGCTCTCTCTAACCCCTCTGCTTTACTTCTTAGGCGGTTTACTGTAAACCAAATCACTGGATAGAACAGCATAACTTGGTTAAATTGTTTTGTGTGGGTTTTTTATGATGATTGTGAGATACCAGTAGAGATGTTGTTTTCCAGTGTAGCAAGATGGGGGTGAACCCATTGATCCCTGTCTGTTGCCCACTGTACAAACAGGATTGGCCAACAGGATAAATTTGCCAGGGGGATTTAAGTGAGCTGGTGATGAGGGTCTAAATTCTTACTAAACAGATGGTGTTTTTCCTCAGTTTTCATGCAGATATCCTTAGACATTGATACAAATGACTTGGTGCCTGTGGTGTTTTTAAATGTTATACCTACGTTTGGGGTCAAGTAAGAGATTTTTTTGTTTTTTTGAAAGAAATACTTTTATTCAGCAAGGATGCATTAAAATGCTTAAAAAATGTAACAGCAAAGATTTTTAAATTGTAACCAAACTTTGAAATAAATGATGTTCCTTAATGAATAAATGAATCCTTAAAAAAAGTATCAAAAATATTAAGCAGCTCATTTTTCATCGCTGATAAGAAATGTTACTTGACCACAAAATCAGCATATTAGAATGATTTCTGAAGAATCATGTGACACTGAAAACTGAAAATTCAGCTTTGCCATCTCAGGAATAAATGACTTGCTTGCCTTATTTTTAGCATTGCTTTTTTGTATTTGCTAAAATTTCTTTATTGCTTTTTCTTTAAAAAAAAAAAAATTGCAACAAGCTGTAAATAGACATTGACAAACACCACTTTGTGTCCTAATAGATTCCGGTGAGCCCAAGCCTCCAGTGTACCAGCATGTACCAGTGTGGGGATGTCCAGATGGAGGAGAGTCGTACCTGGCACTGGCACTAGAGGTGGCGCTGATGGGTATGGGGCAGCAGCGGCTAATGCCCGAGGGCCTGTACGCACAGGACAAGGTGTGCCGGAACGAGGAGCAAATTGTGGCCAAGCTGCAAGAGATGGAGCTGGATGACATATTAGTGCAGACACTCCGCAAACAAGCCATCCTCCTTTTAGAAGGTACAAACTCTTTGTTCTCAATTTCACGTCTTCTTTTTAACCTTTTGCTCTTGTCATCACCCCATAGGCACTATCCTCCCTGTGTGGAGCTGTTTCCTCTCCTTACTGTTCTCTTGCTTTTCCCACAACCTTTTTCCCCCTTGTGGATCTCTGTCTACTTTTATCTTTTCCTCCTCCCCATCTCTAGCCTGGATATATATATTTGTGTGTGTGTGAGAGAGGGAGTGCTATGCCTGTAAAAAGATCTGCAGTCTGGCCTCTGCAGTGTCCCCAACTCCCTTCCCCAAAACAGGCCACCCTGCATCTGAGCCTCCCACTGACACGCGGTGTAACCTTAGAGCAGACATCTGCGCTGCTACTAGGGAGGACAGACTCTGTCAAAGCCCATGAGGCCTTGCCGCCTGTTTGCCTTCTCATCGTCCTCCCCAACCACCCCAGCGATACGCTCCACTCAGATTTCTCTCTCTCACTTGCTGTGCGTGCCCTCACTGACTCACCAGCCTCCTGTCCATCAAGCCTGACTCAACCCTGCAATCTGATATGATGGACAGCTCAGTTCTGATGTGCTCTTCTCTGTCTCGCTCCGTATGTCCAGGTGGTCCCTTCAGTGGTCTTGGGGAGGTCATCCACAGAGAGAGTGTTCCCATGCACACGTTTGCCAAGTACCTCTTCACCGCTCTCCTGCCACACGACACAGACCTGGCGTACAAACTGGGCCTTCGTGCAATGAGGTGAGACTCTCTTTCTCTCCATCCAAAGTCCATGTGTATTAGCTTTGAGGTCTATATATGCTAAAATCCTAAATGTTTACAAAACTCACTTTTAGCAAATTTTTCATAAAATGCAGTGTTTCGTATGTAGGAAAACCAAAACTATTGTTGACTCATCCTGCACTGTACTGATGTCCAATCAAATGCTCTTTAGGATGAGAATGTCCCTTCCCCTAAAACACCTGCTACTTACTAGGAAGTAACAAATGTAATTTCTGGCTGTGACCTAAATAAATTCTGTAGTTTAGAATTTTTTTCCTTTAAAAAAATGGATGGGCGCTTTGTAACGCTTTGTAATTATATGATTTTAAAGTATCTTATGCTCACCAAGGCTGTATTTGTTTGATCAAAAATATAGTTCAACTTTTCTATTTTAATATGTTTTAAAATGTCATTTATTCCTGTGACGTTAAAGCTGAATTACTCCATTACTCCAGTCTTCAGTGTCACATGATCCTTCAGATTCTAATCTAATAATAATGCTGATCATTCTAATAATACTGCTGATTTGCTGCTCTTATTATCATCATTGTTGAAAAATATCAGGCATGAGCAATTTAGTGCACCCTTGCTGAATAAAAGTTAATTTCTTAACTTAAAAAAAAACAAAAAAAAAAAAACTTGCTGACCTAAACAGTACTACTTTGAACATCAAAACTGGAACGAAAACTTGGATTTATAAATAACACCATCATGCAGCAACTTCCAAAAGAGTGTTGGATATTCTTTTCTTTGTCATGTTTTTCATGTTCATTTAAAATGTGTGCATTGTTTTCACCATTAGTTATTGATCACATTTTTTCACATTACACTGAATCTCCACGTGATGTGTTACCCTCACTGACTCCAGCCTTATAAAGCCTCCATGGGACCTTATTACTGTATGTCTGCACTATAAAAGTTAATTTCTTAACTTAAAAAAATAAAAAATTTAAAAAAAACTTACTGACCTAAACAGTACTACTTTGAACATCAAAACTGGAACGAAAACTTGGATTTATAAATAACACCATCATGCAGCAACTTCCAAAAGAGTGTTGGATATTCTTTTCTTTGTCATGTTTTTCATGTTCATTTAAAATGTGTGCATTGTTTTCACCATTAGTTATTGATCACATTTTTTCACATTACACTGAATCTCCACATGATGTGTTACCCTCACTGACTCCAGCCTTATAACGCCTCCATGGGACCTTATTACTGTATGTCTGCACTGAGGCATCATTATCCGAGTCTAGCTCATCACAGTCCTCACTAATACACAATCAATAGGACTGCTCCCTCTGCGCAGCTTCTGTGAGTCTGAGCTAGTGTGGTCTAATATGTTCACTCAGGCAGGAGTAGCAGAGCGCATTCCTAATCACATGCCATCAGACAGAGCTAGCAGAAAGCAGAGTAAGTGTGTGGAAGTAGCACGCAGTATTCTGCTAATCATGTCTGAGGAAGCTGAGTAAAAGGCTGTAGAAAACAGAAGCAACAGAATATGAATGAAAAAAGATTTAAGCTTATATATATTTGTCTTGTTAAAGAGTCTTATGTGTGACTAATCCAGAATAATCATGTTCGCTGCAGGCTTCCAGTACTGGAGTCCACGGCTCCCTCAGGTGACGTAGGACACCCTCACCATGGCATCTCCATAGTGCCCAGCAGATATCCACGCTGGTTCACACTGGGCCACCTGGAGTCCCAGCAGTGTGAACTGGCCTCCACCATGCTTACTGCTGCTAAGGGTGAGTGCTACACACCTGATAGCTCACGACAAGTCACATGTGAGGTTCACTTTAAACAAACTTTTATGTACTGTGCCAGTGTTTAGCTAAGAGAAATCTGTGTTGTGTCTTAGGTGACATGTTGAGATTGCGGACTGTTTTGGAGGCTATTCAGAAGCACATCCACTCCTCTTCCCTCATCTTCAAACTGGCCCAGGATGCCTTTAAGATCGCTACTCCTGCAGATAACCCTCCTGACATCACACTGCTCAATGTAGCGCTGGAGCTCGGCCTTCAGGTAAATCTAAATTGATCTTTATGTGGTGTGTGGTTTATTTTTTTTATTTATCAATGAGTGTGTTCACATGCGTGATCTTACACCAACTCTGCATGTTGTGATCATGTAAAGTCACCCTAAATTTTTCTTTTATTGGACATTCAATGACTCAAGTAATATTGTGAAATATCATTACAATTTGAACCTTTTGAACCTTCTATTGTCTGGTTTTATATGATGGTCAGTGTTTTTGTGTACATGTAAATTCACTCGCTATGTGTATTTGTTCCAGTACACTATTTTGCATTTTTGTGTGTCTAATGCAATATAACATTTCTCTGCAGGTGATGAGGATGACTCTGTCCACACTCAACTGGAGGCGGCGGGAGATGGTTCGCTGGCTTGTCACATGTGCTACTGAAGTCGGTCTGTGTCAGACTGTTTTGTTTTTGTTTTTGTTTTCCTACCAGGTTTAAATGAACACTCATTTCATTCTAGACAGTGGCATGCACTTTAATAGTTTTGTCTTTTTAAAATGTCTGGTAAACCCTGCAGTTTGACTGAAATCCATTTTGTCAAACTTAAACTAACTGATCTAGATAAAGCGACTGTAGCTCAGCTTTGTCCAGCATGTATGCACATTATTCAGACTACAATCGACCTCTGCGCATGCTCCACCAGACTTAGGTAATGCCCAATGTGTATTTAATCCGTCAAATATTCAATTGTTTCCCTGAAGTTGGAGATAAGTTGAATGGCTTGGGTAGTTTATTATGTGGTTACTAAATGCATGTAGAAGTACAGCAAAACTTGTTCTGATTGATTCTTTTGTCTCATTGCAGGTCTGAGAGCTTTGGTTAGCATATTGCAGAGCTGGTACACTCTCTTCACCCCCACCGAAGCGACCAGCATAGTGGCAGCCACAGTGATGTCCCACAACACCATCCTGCGCCTGAGCCTCGACTACCCACAGCGGGAGGAGCTGGCCAGCTGCGCGCGCACCCTGGCCCTGCAGTGCGCCATGAAGGACCCTCAAAATTGCGCCTTGTCCGCCCTTACCCTCTGCGAGAAGGACCACATCGCCTTCGAGACCGCTTACCAGATAGTCATCGATGCCGCCTCCACGGGCATGACCTACTCTCAGCTCTTCACCATCGCCCGCTACATGGAGCACCGCGGCTACCCCCTTCGAGCTTTCAAACTGGCGTCTCTCGCCATGACCCACTTGAACCTGGCCTACAACCAAGACACGCATCCGGCCATCAATGATGTGCTGTGGGCTTGTGCTCTCAGCCACTCGCTGGGCAAGAACGAGCTGGCCGCCATCATCCCTCTGGTGGTCAAGAGTGTTCACTGCGCCACGGTGCTCTCGGACATTTTGCGGCGCTGCACAATGACGGCCCCCGGCCTGGCCGGCATCCCTGGCAGACGTAACTCAGGCAAGCTTATGAGCACTGACAAAGCCCCATTGAGACAGCTACTGGATGCCACCATCAGCGCCTACATCAACACCACCCACTCCCGCGCTACATGGAGCACCGCGGCTACCCCCTTCGAGCTTTCAAACTGGCGTCTCTCGCCATGACCCACTTGAACCTGGCCTACAACCAAGACACGCATCCGGCCATCAATGATGTGCTGTGGGCTTGTGCTCTCAGCCACTCGCTGGGCAAGAACGAGCTGGCCGCCATCATCCCTCTGGTGGTCAAGAGTGTTCACTGCGCCACGGTGCTCTCGGACATTTTGCGGCGCTGCACCATGACGGCCCCCGGCCTGGCCGGCATCCCTGGCAGACGTAACTCGGGCAAGCTTATGAGCACTGACAAAGCCCCATTGAGACAGCTACTGGATGCCACCATCAGCGCCTACATCAACACCACCCACTCCCGCCTCACGCACATCAGCCCGCGCCACTACGGAGAGTTCATCGAGTTCCTCAGTAAGGCACGTGAGACCTTTCTTTTGGCCCAAGATGGCCACATTCAGTTCGCCCAGTTTATAGACAACCTCAAACAGATCTATAAGGGCAAGAAGAAACTCATGATGTTGGTACGGGAACGTTTTGGTTGAACCTCGCTTGATTGCAGGGGCACTTGTTCTTCTTTCATTCTTCATTTATTTAAGGCATTATTTTATTCTTCCTTTTTTTTTTTTTGGTCGTCTTTGGTGAATGTTTAAGTTTTATTCATTTGTTTTGATCTGTTTTGTCTTGTTTTGTTTTTTTATTGTGAACAATTCCTGTTCACCAAGTTATTCTTACCAGGTCGAACCTGTGGAGGGGAGAACAACAACTGTAATTATGACCATTTATGTTTTTGTTTTGGCTCGTTCTTGATTTTGTTTGATCAAGATATTGTGATAAAAATGTAAAAGTGGCACATAAAGAGACACCAAATGATTATGTGGTAAATTTTGAGCGTGGGGGAGGCGTTTGGTTGGTTTCGAACACTCGAATCAAAAAGGTCATTTCTGAAACACTCGCAACGCAGTGTTATTGTCATACCTCGATCATATTTTACGGATCAGCTTTAACTCTCTCTCTGGAAAAGGCCTGATTTTAAGAGTGAGACGGGCACATCACCTCAAATGCTCTGCCGAATGTTCTAACCACGACTCAAGCAAGCCACAAGACATGAGCCCTCCCCTCTCTCCTGGATTTGTTACTATCGGCTCATCTTAACCTCTGTTCGAAAATTTCAGTGCGAGGAAGATGATAGCCTGTGTGCTCAATCCTTCCGTGCTGTTTCCTGGTCTTGCTGAATATGAACAAAACAGAGATATTTACCCATCAATATCAGCCATATATGTTTCTCTGTTACCTCTCAGTGAAAAACAAAAACAGAAACAAAAAGACTTGTGTGAGATTGAGTAGCAGTAATAATATATATATATATATGTACTAGCACTTCATTAAATTCCAACCCCTACACGACGCATTCGGATCAGCAATTACTTTCGGTGTACAAATTAGGTGAATTGTATAGATGCATTTGACAAAAACAGCTACATTGGCAGAACAAGGAATTAGCTGGCTTTAAACTGTATCGTAATATCTTCCACATTCCATGACCTCTGCCCTCCACAAGTGCCCCAGTGGATCCGAACACTTAGAATGCACTCCGCGGCTTCCATCTGAAGGAAAACGAGAAGAGAGATGCTCAACTCCGTTCTCAGGGAATCACTTAAAGGAACAAAACAGAAAAAAAGTAGCATAAGCATTTAAAATATTGTAAATATGAAAGTGTCAATTCAAAAAATTGTAAAGTTATAATTATTTATGATAACTGTATGTTTTTCTTTTCGGATACTTGAATTTGTCGGGCTGGGAATGTGACGACTGTAAGAGGAAAGACTTCAGAAACATTTCTCAGGTGCTCCTGTGTACATTTCCGATTTGCTGTTTTATTTGTATCCTCTTTTATTTGATTTTTTTGTAATACATTTTTGCAAGAGGAAGCATGTAAAGAAGAAGGCAGGAGAGGACAAATGTTTATGAACAGACTATGCAGAACCACTTCACGATTTGCCCTCTTCACCCCTGATCTTCCTCCGTCTTTTCTCCTTGTTTGGCTCGGGGGTTGGGGCGCTCTCCCAAAATTCAACCGTTTGTATCTTGTAAGTAAAGTAATCTGCACGAGCTTCGAGTTTGGATGGACTTTGCCTTTGATCTACATACAACTCTTTACTTTGAAGCCTTATAGTCTTCTCTGAAAACGCTGCATGTGTTTCAGGACATTGTGTTGCCAATGTCAGTGGAGTACAGCACAGAGAAAATGGACCTACACCTTCGACTGGCCCGAACAAGGAAGAAGGACATCTGCTGTTCGATTCTCCTTCGCTTTGACACGGTCCACATACTTTAGGGTCGTGATTATCTTGTATTGGGGCTTTTTGAGGGCAATAAGGTCTGTTTTGAGGTTGCGACTTACCATTGCCTAATCGAGACTTTGATAGATGCTTCATTAATGGCTAAATCTTGAGGAGATTTCTCTATGTTGTTGGTTAAGGTTGGTCACTTTCATTTAAATGGTTTGCTGGTTTCCACTTTTGGTTAGTTTTTTTTTTTTCCCCCCTCAAAATTCATTCTAGTTGCATCAACTGTGGCATACTCGACCCACAAGGTGTTTATGCAGCATTTATTCCTCAACCGGCTCTGTCGGGGAGCTCTCGCGGACCTGAGAGAAAGCTCACAGACTAGACTTTTTTTTTTCTTTTTTAATTAAGACATCTGCAGAATGATAATAGTGCTACCTGTTCAATTAAAAAATAATAACATATATATACATATATAAAAACGAAAGAAAAAAAAAAGGCAAAAAAAACGAGCATTTTCTGTAGCTAACTAGTTGGTCCAATGGCATTGCAAAAAGAGAATAACCTCCTCTGGCTTTTGATTTCTCTCTTCCATACTCTTAAGTGTCTGTATGTGTTAAATGTACCAGTGTTTTGATCTGTCCCTAGAGTTTAGAAGGAAAAAAATAATCGCTGGTAGAGATTGTTCACTAGTTCATCTACTGTTTGGTTTTGTTTTGTTTTAATTTAAGGGAAAGTGTTTGTCGCCTCTTTGTGCTACTGAGTTATAAAAAGGTATCCAGTATTTGTTGCCACAAAAGTATAGTTCAACAACACTTTTTGTTTGTGCAACCTCTTGAGCTAATGTCTATAAACAAAAATTTATTACTATTTATGTAATGCTACTACCATTTTATGATTTGTGTTGAATTTCAGTGCTTTTCTATGAATAAAGTGTGAAACACAACTTTGCCTCTTTAAACTTAATATGATATACAGCTAGCTCAAGTGCAACTTTTCCTCTTGAAGCAGGAATTTGGCACATCGAACGGCGTGTATTTTTTATTTTATTATTTTTTAATTAATAGTTGTACGTAAATGTCTGCAAATAAATAGAAACTGATCAAAAGTGACAGTAAAGACATTTACAACAAAATATATATTTCAAATAAATGTTGTTCTTTTGAACTTTCTATTCATCAAAGTATTCTGTACAAGAACTGTATTGTTGTTTTCACAAAAATATTAAGCAGCACAATTGTTTTCAACATTGACATTAAGAAGAAATGTTTCTTGAGCTCCAAATCATTTCATTTCTGAATCACGCAACACTGAAGACCACAGCAATGCCGTTGCCATCACAGGAAAAAATTTGATCTTAAAATGGGTTCAAATAGAAAAATTATTTTAAAATGTAATAAGAAATAGACTTTAAAAAAACAAAACTCTTAACAACCCCACATTTTTGAATGGTAGTGTGTGAAGGGGATGTTTTTTTACTCCATTTCCCCAGAAGAGAAATACTGAAAAAAAGAAACTTAAGCAGAAGTAAGCATTTAAAATTTCAGAAAGTGGTCAGAAATATCACTGCAGTTATACAATTTTTTTTTTTTTAAAAAGCAGCTCGATACCCCCACACATGTTGTCCAGACTACATCTCCAGCTCTCCTCCTATCTCCTCTTTAGAAACTCCGCGTCTGAATCACAATAAACTCCAGGAAAACCTTGTGTCAGAGTGATCGACTGTGTTAGAGATGCAGTCGACAGGAACAATACTCTTTGGGCCTGCTTATACAAACTATCCCATCCATCAGGGTCCCTCACAGCTGCTGCTCTTCATTGTGTCTTGGACCCAATGCAGCGCCGCGCTCCTGTGAGGACCACTGAGTAAGTGTTTGTCAAGCCTGGCAGTGCTGCCAGCTGAAATATGGATGGGGTTGGCTCAGTTAGACACGCTGCAAAGAGAAGGCATTTCCTTAGCTCAGTGATTTAGCAGAAGTGACACACCAGGAAAAGAGAGACGAGTAACTGGCTTTCCCACCTTGTTGTGAGCTTCCAGCGCGGGCTGAGCCTGTCAGATTGGAGCGAAGAGTAGGTGTTGGGCTTGGTAGGGGGAAACAAGCATTGTTTATAAGTGTAACAATGTAACGGAGGCTTTTCTTTAATTAGAACCCAACCCATCATCAGAATGAGGAAGTCTAAACGCAGTCACCGAGCACATGAGCCTGTCAGGCAACTCTGAGAACTGTTGTGCTTCTGGGCTGGTTTGTGCAGTGAGCGGAAGCTTTGTCCTTTGTACCCTGCATGGCAGGTTCTGCTGTCAGCGTAATCACATATTGTGTTCATAGGGGAGCTGATTTGCAGAGCTTTGTTCTGCTGCTGATGTTCCCAGAATCCCTCTGTAATTGGGGTGGGGCAGCTTGTGACTTTTTTAGGTGGGCTGAGTGGGAATGGAAAACTGTAGTGCAGGGGTGCCCAAACTCAGTCCTGGAGGGCCAGTGTCCTGCAGAGTTTAGATCCAACTTGCCTCTACACACCTGCTACAAAGTTTCTAGTATGTCTAGTAAGAGCTTGATTAGTTGGTTCAGGTGTGTCTGATTGGGGTTGGATCAAAACTCTGCAGGATACCGGCCCTCCAGGACCGAGTTTGGGCACCCCTGCTGTAGTGGATTACGGAAGAACGGTATTGTGCCGAATTCTGCACCCCTGCCAGATTATGCACCCCCTCGTTGAAGTCGCTACCTGATTGCCTAATCCTAACCCCACCCCTAATCCTAACCCCTCCCCCACACCTACTCCTAAACCTACCAATACTAGGGGGTGCATAATTTGGCGGGGTGCAAATTTCGGCACTACACAGGAACAGAATCAAGCTGAACAGCTGTGATATGTGTAATTGGTTACACTTTTTTTGAAGTAAACTATTACATCATTTATTAATCTAGGTTTATGCAAATCTATAAATATAATCATTGTTAATGAGTTCATTGTTAATTCATGGTCATAATACAGTGGTTTATAAATTTATACAAGTTTCTTCCAGTCTTCGAATTTGATTAGCCAAGCCACGTTCCAAGGACAGCACTGCTTGTTTTTGTTGTTCTCTTCAAAAAGAGGGAACAATTGAGAGATTGATAACTTTGCAGTATTACAATGCTGATGACTGTTGAAAAGTAGACTTTTGATTTTGAGTAAGTCATTCAATTATTCACTCATGGAATGTCATTTGAGGGTGAAATATTTCCCCATGCAGATTTTGCAACTGATTTATGTTGGCCACGCATTCGCCGCATTGACCATTAGAAACCTGCTTGAGTTCAGTGTAAGCTGTGCTTCATACATTTCTACACTATACTACTGACAATAGACGAACAAACATTTTGTCAACCTCCTGACTACCAGGAAAAAAACTGTTTTGTGAATTTGGTGTTTTATCGTGTCATTACATTGTTTAGGGCATAAGAAAAAATTTGAAAAATAACATTTTTGAAAAATGATATTTTATTCATAGCCTATGTTATGCCATGTCCTCTGTAGAAGACATTGGGACTTTAAAAGGTCCAGTTTTTTAAGAAATAAAAAGACATGAATATACATGAAAAGGCAAAAACAGGTGGATTTTTGTTTTAATCACAAATCAATTTTCATTTTTTTATACCAAACTTTATATAAAGTTGAGATAAATAGATTCTCAACTGTTATGAAAGATATTTAAAAAAAAAAATTTCTTTATGCAAAATGTGTGTAAAATGGCCATAAACAAGTTTTTCCATTATATACAATGCATCTATAAACTGTATCTAATTTGCATATTAATGTGTTTTTGGGGCAACATAGAATGAACAAATAAGTGCAATAATGGGAGTAATAATTAGCAAGATTTTCATAATATCTAATATTTAATAGGAATATTGATACATAATTTTTTCTCTATTCATTTGTTGTGTCTCCCAAAATGTGTAATAAACATGCTTTAAGTCCTGGTGTCCTCTACAGTGGACATGTATGAAATCGACGTCCTGTTTCATAACAGAAGGTCATATTTTGATTTGAAACCCCATAACATTTTCCTGAGATGTTGATTTATGACAATTTGAAAATTAGTCAGATTTAAATAATTACAAAATATTATCATATTTCCATAAGGGCGTTACACTTGATCACTAAATGAATGTCAGCCATTTTTAAAGACCAAGGAGAGGGAGTGGTCATGGTGAAACATCCAATCATTTGGTATCTCTGGAAAGCCCTGAATGTGCTCTGTACAGGACATCCAGACTTAAAACTGTGACATGTAACGTCTCAGAGAAATCACTAAAACATAATGTGCTCTACAGAGGCCATAACTCCATAGATGGTAGTCAGGAGGTTAATGTGGAATTGTAAAAATAAATAAATATAAAGAGAAAATCAGCATAGAATAAACAAATTATTAATGACCAATCAATTTGGATTTTACAAGATGGACTCAGGCCAAGGCCCCCAAAACCCTCCCTTCTGATAAAGCAGTGATAGTGCCAGGACCTGACAAATGATGTACAGCCTGCTGTCTTCAGGAACATATGGGATTTTCTGGCCTGCTGACTTGCCGAGAGATTAAGCCCAAACCCCTTCATCCCCTTGTGGCTTCCTATAGGAGACCTTGGGGAATTCAGCTTTTTTTTCATTCATTGTTGCAATTAAAAATAATACCCGGAGCCCCTTGAGGTATCACAGAATAAGTGTGTGCACGTGTGTATGTGCCTCACTAGGAAACGGGCCCAGCTCCCCAATCACAGCTGTGCTCCATGGACACAAACTAGCGGTGAGCGACAGTGGCTTAAAAAACCAACAACACTAATCAGCAAATTGATTACAGGACGTTTCTTCTTTCAGCACCTAACACACAATCAAGGCCAGACTTATCATGCATTGACAACACCGCACACTGGCAGATGAGGGTAAAAGAGGGCTGCAGCTGCCAGATTTGCAAGCCCACATCAAAACTATGCAATTTTACATACACAAATGGGGTTCCGAAAGTACTAACATGATTGAGAAATGTATAGAAATTCCAATAAATCCTTGTTTTGAAGTTCAGGGTTCTTCAAATCATCTCGCATATGTCACATCACATGATGCCTTGCTGGGGAATCCCACTCCTACCCTCCCAAAAACAAAAAAACAACAAGATTTAAGGATTTGCTTACCCAGGGTGCTTATTCGTCGTTTGGTATTACGTCCTCTGGGATTAACATTTCTATTACTAAATGTGAAAGGCAGTAAGAGAGACAGTAATCATAGATCAAGAGAATGAACCCCCCACCAAAAGACTGGTGCAAAACAAAGGGAATTAAAAAAAAAAAGGTTGCACATGATTTAGGTATGTGATATTCAGATAGGAGACATTCCCCTGAGGGATGTTTGTCTTGATCACTCTTTATTGCGCTTCATATAAAACATCCATTGATATGTACACACATTCTCAGAGGTTCATTAGTGTCAGTCACAATTCTAGGGAAGACAGTCTCATGCCCAGATGTTACTATGGTACTACATTAAAAACAAACCCATACAGTGCTTAGGATTTGATCAGATTTATCCTTCACTTACTCCACATTCTTCAGTGATCGTACAGTGCATCGGCTCTAATGAAAACACATCAATCCAACTGAGAAAGACATGTTTCCACTGAAAATTATATTAAAGATTAGATGGATTGGTGTGGAGCCATTATAAAAAAGTAGGTAAAATAGAAAGACGGCCTACACAATCATTGAAATGAGTCGGGATCAGCCTTTTGGGTGAATCTCTCAAAAGCCTGTCAGAAAATATCTGGGTCACATTTCACCACAAAATAAAAAAAAATAAATAAATAAATACCATTTTGCATAAAGAAAATGAAGCCTACATTTGAGATAATTAAGATATCTGGCATTTAGGCATATTTTACCCCCAAGTTCTCATTACTGTATTGCATATCATTATATGATTATTACCGTAATACAGTATTCTAAAAACAGCATTTAAAAAAAAAAACTTAAATCAGCATAAATTAAGGTGAGCTATCCTTTTTTTTATTTAAAGGTTATATATATATTTCACATTATGGTACTGTGAATGATAATCTGTTTTTGCAGCAGGATATTGTAATACCAGGCAGATGGAAGAGTAAAAAACAATATTAATAAATAATATATACAAATAATATTAATAATGATATGAATATGTTAATATACTAATATTAATGAAAATAAACTATCATTAAAAAGGTTATTTATAACACCACTAAGGTCCTATATAGCATTTTCAAAGCATGGTTCTTTATGGAACCCTATAAAACGGGTTCTATTTAGCACTAAAAAGGCTTCTGCTATTGTGTATATATGGTAAAGAGAATTTGGGAGGGAAATGTGAAATGTAAAGCCTTAATGGTCCTTCCTCGTTAAGCCAAAACTATTTTCTTATTTCTTTTCATTTTGGAGTGAAATAGAACTGGACATTTTCTTGACAGATTTTGAGAGAGTTTCACCCTGTAACATACACTCTTAAAAATAAAGGTGCTTCAAAAGGTTCTTCAAGCGATGCCATAGAAGAACCATTTTTGGTTCCACAAAGAGGCATTCAGTCAAAGGTTCTTTAAAGAACCATCTCTTTCTTACCTTTGTATAATCTGAAGAACCTTCTTTCGCCCCAAAGAACCTTTTGTGAAACAGAAAGGTTCTTCAGATGTTAAAGGTTCTTTATGGAACCATTTAGACAAAAAGGTTCTTCTATGGCATCGTGAAGCACCTTTATTTTTAAGAGTGTATCTAATGATAAAGCGGTGCACACCAACAGTTGTTGCTTCTCTTGTGTTTTAGAGGGTCTTCTGATGGGAGAGTAACCTCTTTATTTGCGGTTGAGGAGCTGGCGAGAATGGGTGTGAACGGCCTCTACAAACGCACCCACATTTTCTGGGTCCATATCAGGGTACAGGCCGTGACCCAGATTAGCGATGTAGCCCTTGGTGCCGAAGCTCTCCAACATCCTCTTCACAATCTCTGATATGCGCTCCTGATCACACGTAAACGAAAAGAAGTGTTTGGGTTGGATATCATACATCAGGTTTGTCCTCTGGTCAAAATCTACGAGCTACGGGGTTTTAAACACCCCCATAATTTCTGAAATGATGGTGGAAAAAATGTATTTCGGAGGCATCGAGACAATGGTATGAAAGCCATGCTTGTAATGAACGAGCAATGAAAGCCAAAGACGACTCTGTGTGGAAAACAGCTGCTCTTACGGCTCATATTTCCAGCAGGGCCTAAATTTGTAAAAACAAAATGGCCTCTTTATTTTGAAATGGACTAACCAGAAGTAAAGTAATGCTTTTGAAGCACAAAACACTTCTATACAACGTAGACTAAACAGAAGTGAAGCGGAGAATTGGTTGGGTTTCAATGGAAACATGATTCTGGTGGGTGTTGTTTTGATGTTCCTTTCCTCACCTTTGTGGCATAAAGAGCACAGGGATCCATGTTGCCTTGCAAACTAACTTTTCCTCCAGTCCTGATACTGAAAAACACCAACATAACATATATATATATATATAAAATTTAAGGACCATTCTTTCATTGAGAAATAGCCAAACATCACAATACACTCACACAAGGCAAAGGTTTGAACAGTTTCTCATGATCTTAAAAAATTGAGCTATAAGTTGCTTAAAATAAAAATTGTGTCTCTGTATGAATCTCTTTACAAAACTTAATTTTGTAATTCATTTCTTTATTTAGAAATGGATGAATTGAACCAGATGTGGGAAGTGTAGGAAGAGCAGCCTATATATGTGTCCAGCACGAATGAGAGTGTGTAATCTAGACAAGGAGTTTCTTTATAAAAGAAAAAATTGTTGTTTGTCTAAAGGTTTGACTGGTACTTTATGTACATACTGTACACACAGTGCCTTAATGGACTATTCTACGGTGGCCGAGAGAGCTCAACGCGCTGCAACTTAAGAAAACACATGCAAATTGAAAAAACACCAGCAAATTAAGAAAACATCTTCATCAGTTTGACAACACACGCGCTGCAAATCCTCACAACACATGCAAACGAAGAAACGCGCTGCAAATATCACGGACCACAACGGAAATGTTTCAAGGGGACCCAAAAAAGTGACGGACCCGGCTGGGATTTGTTTTTTTTTTCTTAATTTGCTGGTGTTTTTTCAATTTGCATGTGTTTTCTTAAGTTGCAGCGCGTTGAGCTCTCTCGGCCACCGTACTATTCAGACTCAACCAAAGCCTTTAATTTTACTGGATTAGAAATCCTATATTGACATTTGGCGGTCTGTGATATTTCGGCTTTTAAATCTATAAACTAGAGTGTTTTTCATCTGCATAAAATGAAACAGAACAGTGTAATGAGGACACAACTCTCTCACAACTGACTTTTAGCTATGAAGCATTAAAATAACTAATATATATAAAAAAACAAGAAACACTCAACATTCCGGCTGTGAATTGAGACTGAATCTGAAGGACAGCAGTGATACTGACGAGCAAAGAGCTCTTTATCCAAAACCACAACAATGTCCAAGTGTTTGAATGCACTTCATCTGGAGTTTGCCCAAAAGCATAATAGATTCAGTTGCGATGTGGCAAAAGATTTCATGGTCAGATGTTTTGTTAATGTTAATAGCAGTGCCCACACTTCCACAGTATAAAAAAAAAATTACACTTGCTTTTGATCATATATAAGTGACGAGGTATTGTTGCCATAGGTACTGGTCTTGGGTTTTCTTTCTTTGGTTAATTTAAATTTGTAATTATTTTATTATATTATTTCTTTTTTTGTACAGCACTGTGGTCAATTATTAGCACTGTGTGTATTATCATGTGCTTTATAAATAAATTGGAATTGAACTGGAGGTGCAAGTAGAATCATGCTGTAAGTCTGTTTTTTATCAGCAGGATTGGGCATCTTATTTTTATTAAAACAAAGAACGGATAGTGCAAATGCATACAGTGAAAGACAATCTGTTAAAAAAATACTGAAACGTGATCACTTACGACAGTGATCCTAAAAACAGGGCTAAAGAACAAAAAGGAAAATGTCTTATAATGGGCCAGCCAAAGCCCTCTTCATACTCCAACTGTGACACTATTTGAAATATGTGGTGCACAAATGTCATCTAATAAAGCTGAACAATCTGGAGTAAATCTGCCTAGAAGATGAGGCCAAAAATCACACACCTACACAAATGTGAGATGCGGTTCTTTGAAATAAAAGGATCAAGGAACAAAACTGCAGTAAAGGACCTGGAAGCGAGAATTGCTTATGAGTGTGAATACTTTTGCAAGGCGCTGTATGCGTAGGTATAACACTGAAATCAGAAAACAAAATCTCACATCAAAGCTGCATCACATTTCTGTAACTGACCGTGCTGAATGTGGATCTGTGGTCCAGTCAAGACTCACAACTTCATAACCAGACTCAGAGAGGTCCTCAAGCCCATAATGGCCATCTTTAGCAAAAACGATCTGCAAATGAAACAGAAAAGACAAAAGTTATAGAGGAGCTGAAGGATCATTGGAGACTTTCAAAAGAGATGCCTGGAAGAAAACATGACCTGATACTGACAACTAGTGGCAAATTGTGTTATTACAAGTATGCATATGTAGTGTGCATAGTGTGACATTGCTGTTCTCTGAATACCTACGCTCAAAAAGAAAATATTAACACTATTTAATAATTTTCATTAATAAATCAATAAATACATTATATAATGCTTAACAGCTCAATAGTTTGTTTATATTTTAGTATGAATTAGTGCCGTCAACTCAATTAAGCGTGATTAAATATGGCAAGCCGTTTTGACTTTTATTCCTTCACAGGATGTGAATTCTTGATATCAACAATTCAATTTTCACTAGCTAAAATGCTAATTCTTGATATCAACAATTCAATTTTCACTAGTTAAAATGCTAATTCTTGATATCAACAATTCAACTTTCACTAGTTAAAATGCTAATTCTTGATATCAACAATTCAATTTTCACTAGTTAAAATGCTAATTCTTGATAACAACAATTGCATTTCAACTAGTAAAAACTATAATTCTTGACATATGTAATTGTATTTTCACTAGTTAAATGTCACCATAGGCTGCCATTCAAAATTAATTGTTGATATCAAGAAGTGATTTCTTACTAGTTGAAATTGCAATTTCACATATCAAAAATACAATTCTTACTAGTAAAAACCTTTATTTTTGATATCAGTAACTGCATGGTTATTAATGCAACTTTCACTAGTTAAAATGCTAATTCTTGATATCAGGAATTGCATTTCAACTAGTAAAAACTATAATTCTTGACATATGTAATTGTATTTTCACTAGTTAAATGTCACCATAGGCTGCCATTCAAAATTAATTGTTGATATCAAGAAGTGATTTCTTACTAGTTGAAATTGCAATTTCACATATCAAAAATACAATTCTTACTAGTAAAAACCTTTATTTTTGATATCAGTAACTGCATGGTTATTAATGCAAATGACTACTCTTGATTTCAACAATTGAATTGTTACTAGTAAAAATGTTCATTTTTAATATCAATAATTCGATTGTCAATAGTGACAATGTTAATTTCTGATATCATGAATGTGATTGTTACTAGTAAGAAAGCCATTTTAGATATCAGAAAAATTTTCACTAGTTAAAATGCTAATTCTTGATATCAACAATTCAATTTTCACTAGTTAAAATGCTAATTCTTGATATCAGGAATTGCATTTCAACTAGTAAAAACTATAATTCTTGACATATGTAATTGTATTTTCACTAGTTAAATGTCACCATAGGCTGCCATTCAAAATTAATTGTTGATATCAAGAAGTGATTTCTTACTAGTTGAAATTGCAATTTCACATATCAAAAATACAATTCTTACTAGTAAAAACCTTTATTTTTGATATCAGTAACTGCATGGTTATTAATGCAAATGACTACTCTTGATTTCAACAATTGAATTGTTACTAGTAAAAATGTTCATTTTTAATATCAATAATTCGATTGTCAATAGTGACAATGTTAATTTCTGATATCATGAATGTGATTGTTACTAGTAAGAAAGCCATTTTAGATATCAGAAATTACTCTCCTAATTATTGATATCAGAAATACATTCTCAGATATCAGAAATAATAAATGTAACATGTTGAAATGTATTTACAGATATCCAGAATTAACATTTCAACAATTAACAATTGAAATCTTGATATCAGCAATTCACATTTTTACTAGTAACAATGCAATTATTGATATAAAAAATTATATTTCTACTAGTAAGAAATACAAAGCTGATATGTGTATTTAGATTTTTAACTAGTAAGAAATGCATTTTTTTATATCTGTAATAGTTAAGAGTTAAGAGTTAACTGTCCGAAGAGTTAGTGTATCAGTGTAGTGCCATATTTAATGTAACATTGAAATGGCTGAGATGTTTCAGAAAGAGGTTCAATAGGACTTTATCATTCATCTTGTCCAGTGTAGGCCCTGTACTTCAAGAACTGGACAACAGGTTATATAAAACTAATGCAGTTTATTAGCACATTACAGTGTCTATCATGTCATATTTTAGCTACGCACCCGTTTGGTCCCAATGGTCAAGAAAATCGGAGCCGAATTGGGCAGAGAGTGTAAATAGTTCGTCTCATCATTAGGCTATCCCATATGAGAAAGTGTGGGTGCACATAATAATACATCAAAATTTAAATAAATAAATAAATACAGCAGCTAATAACATTGCATTACACTTTGTTTTATGCACCCGCCTTTAATCAAATATGACAACTCGTTCTGTATTATAGACGTATGTAAATGGAACGATATTAAAAAATCGTCCAGCAAAACATTCAAACAATGTTTGACGCATTACACATTATCTGTTTTTACCTAATTTATTAGCCTAGCTGTACACAAAAGCTAATGTTTACAAAAAGGTTTTATTTTTTTTATTTTTGTTGAAGCTTATTGTATTTTCTATTTGATGCATTGGAATAAAGTGTAACGAAACGAAAATAAACATGAAAAATTACACGAGTTTATTTTTTATTTTCATGACAATGATAAAATAAATAATAAATTAATGCCTTGTTCATTTTTTTCCTTTAATTATCCGAAGGACTTGGTGGCCAATAAAAATAAACTAATTTATTTTTAAACAATTAAAAAAAAAAAAATCCAGCCATAATATAATTATGTTTCATTGACTAAATTAGTAAATAAAGGAGGAGCATGGATGTTCTTCCGCCATCTTTGGCCTATTGGATTATGGGGAAAACATCTCATAAATATTCATTAAACTCATTACCATAGCTATTGTTACCTGTAATTTCCAGATATCTGTAAAAGTATTTTTACTAGTTACAACATTATTTAAGATATCAGTCATTCTATTTTCTCTAGTTGCAAGGGCAATTTATGAACTGCCTTTGTTGATATCAATAATTACTTAGTAAATTACTAGTAAAAATGTGAATGTCTGATATCAAGAATTTAATTTTTACTAGTTGAAATGTTAATTCTTGATATCTGTAAATGTATTTCAACGTGTTACATTTGTTATTTCTGATATCTGAAAATGTATTTCTGATATCAATATAATTCCTGATATCTAAAATGGCTTTCTTACTAGTAACAATCACATTCATGATATCAGAAATTAACATTGTCACTATTGACAATCGAATTATTGATATCAAAAATGAAAATTTTTACTAGTAACAATTCAATTGTTGATATCAATAGTAGCCATTTGCACTAATAACCATGCAGTTACTGATATCAAAAATGTTTTTACTAGTAAGAATTGTATTTTTTTAAATGTGAAATTGGAATTTCAACTAGTAAGATATCAACAATTGAATTTGAATGGCAGCCTATGGTGACATTTAACTAGTGAAAATACAATTACAGATATCAAGATTTATAGGTTTTACTAGTTGAAATGCAATTCCTGATATCAAGAATTTGCATTTTAGCTAGTGAAAATTGAATTGTTGATATCAAGAATTCATATCCTGTGAAGGAATAAAAGTCAAAACGGCTTGCCATAGATTAATCGCATCCAAAATAAAAGTTTATATATATATATACACATACATACACACACACACACACACACACACACACACACACACACACACATATATATATTATGTACAAACCTTTATTTTGGATGCGATGAATCAATTTGACAGCACTAGTATGAATAAATGAAAATATATCAAATGTTTATGGCATTTATAACCATCTGAATGAATATTAACCATTGTTGCTATATAATAAGTATATGTAATTAAAATAATAATAAAACCGTCTTATATCACTGTAGTTTCACAGTCCCTTGCTTTCAGCTTAACTCTAGCCTTAAAAATAAATCAATAAATTGCATCACTTCTCATGTTACTGACACCTTGGGATGAATCACATATGCTGCTGTTTTACATATTCAAATCACATATTAAGTGTTACTTCAAGTTAAGTGTTACTTCGTCATACAGTTAAAGCTAAAAACTAAAAACTAAAAAGGGTGTTCAAGCTCAAGAGATATTACAATGTCAAACTCTACTCACCATAGGCACATTGTCCAAACCAGATTCTTTGATCTTGTCTTTAACACGGCGAGCAATGTCTCTCAGATAAGGCAGAGAAAACTCTTCAAACTCCACTGGGCCCAAGCAACCAGTATGAGACTCGAAAACCTGCAGAGCCTAAAGGAAAGACATTTTAAGGAAATTAGATAAATTTGACTCTAAATTACATTCTATGTCTGTAAAGTCTTCACTGAACATCTAAATAGTGCTACAGATTTTTAAACTGTTCTCCTCGATCTCAATTCATCCGTTCTCTCACCTGAGCTCCAGCTTTCACCTGTCCGAGAAGATACTCCACTATGACATCTGCTAGCTGGCTCAGGAGTTTGTGGCTGGCCTCTGGGTACCTGTAGAGCCAGCGTTTAGCTTTTGAGTGTGTCGTGGAGCCTCCTCCTTCAATCATGTAGGACATTAGAGTCCACTGCCATTCAGAAGAGACACAATGATGGAGATCATTAATGTAGTTTCAATTATTAACTTTGCAAAACAACCATATAGCTACGGTCAAACATCTAGTCATTTGCTTCTATTTAGCTTCCAAAAGAAATACTAAACGATTGATCTTTTTATTTGTTATCCTCAAAACTCTTGTGACACACTGTGCATTTGCAAAGCATGTTCTCTAGTTATGTGAGGATTGTCACATGGTTTCTCACTGGAGCTCCAGTGAAGCCGATGAGAGGAACTTTTCCCTCTATTCTGTGTCGTGTCAGTGTGATGGCTTTAAAAACGTAGTCGAGTTCAGACGACACATCCACTTTAGTCTTTAGTCTCTGCAGATCTTCAGGCTCCTTCAGTGGTTCTGGGAAAGTGGGGCCCTTTCCTGGACTCATCTGAACCTCCATTCCCATGGCCTAGTCATACACATTTTATACATTAATAGACATTGCACACTAATGTTAATTGGTAATTCAGTACGTTAGAGATCAATTGACCTTCATTTACCTGAGGGACCACCAAGATGTCAGAGAAGATGATGGCAGCATCAAATGGGAATCGTCTGAGTGGCTAAAACAGAAAATTGAGACATTGTTAAAACTCTATATGCTATAAGAAGCAGCTAAGAATGAAGGTGCTCAGTGGTGCTGACCTGTAGCGTAAGCTCACAGCAAGCTTCAGGGGAGCGGCATGTCTCAAAGAAATCCTTCCCTGCCCTCGATTCCCTGAACTCTGTTAACAGAGCCACAGAGACACTAGTTAGTAAATATACTGCATATAGTGAATAAAAAGAACAACTTCACGGTAAACGATCACATTTAGCACTGACCTGATTGGTATATACATACCTGGCAGATAGCGGCCAGCCTGTCTCATACACCACACTGGAATGTGCTCGATCTCTTCTCCTTGAGCGGCTCTCAGGAATGTGTCGTTCTTCAGCTCTGGAAAGTCTTTGGGGCTGGGATGGAAAACAGCGGTGTCAAAATATCTCAGTAACTAATTCACACAACATTACTTTTCACAAATGATTAAAATCTGTAGTGGAATTCATTTGTGCTCAGAAGCCCCTCCCTTTGGTTGAGATGATGATCAGGTTTCACAGATGTTTTAAGCAGCAAGTGAAGAGAGTAGATAAGGGCTTTTGAGATCAGGGGACTAACGGTTTCCTCTTTCTTCACAACTTGATAAGCATTTGGCCAGAGAGCCACACAAAACCCACCCTGTTGTCTAAATTACAAAGCCATGCAGATATACACTACTGTTCAAAAGTTTAAGGTCAGTATGTTTTCTTTTTAAGAATTTAATACGTACAATAAGTATCGCTTTTTATTTCTCCTCTTTCCTATTACTTGTTTCACTTCTGTTTCAGTTTTTATAACCATTTCTTACTATTTATAAATGTGTATGTATATATATGTATGTGTACAAACAACATGTACGTTGTTTTTTTGGTGTTTGGCTTAGTGTTATGTTAATTTTTTTAATTTTTTTATTTACATTTATTTAAATTTAGTGTTATGTTAGAATCATTATTATACTCTCATACCTTTTGTTCTTTAATATTTTGAATTGTTTTTAGCTTTATTTTTGTTTTTAATTTAAATGTTAAGTTTTGAAATTTTGTTGTATGCATTTGTCATTTTTATTTAATTTTTGAATTGTTTAAATGTGTAAAAGTAGTATTTATAAAGTTTTAGCTTTTAGTTTGGGATCTGTTTTTAGTTGTTTTAATACTACAATTGATTGCTTCTGTTGTCCTCATTTGTAAGTCGCTTTGGATAAAAGCGTCTGCTAAATGACTAACTAATTATCTAATAATTTTATACAACAAGTATTTATGCATCCTGAATAAAAAGTGGATCGAAATGGACCAAAACAGTGAATATTTTTTAAATTGTTACAAAATAATTTTACTTAACCATTTAACTCTTATCTCTTTTTAACTCTCTCTTCTTCAAAGAATCTATTAAAAAAAAATTTCCACAAAAACAACTGGTTTCAAATGCGATAATAATAAAAACTCTTGAACGGTAACGTTAGTGTATGTGATGTATACTGAAATGCAAATATAATTGTAATACATAATAATTGTAATAAATAATTATATATAATCATTATTGTATTATCAATACTGAGATAACGCTCTTTGTTTATAAAATAATAGATTTTGTTTTGTGATTTAAACACATGAATCGGTAATCAGTCGTCATTATTATTGCAAATCTTTTTTTTTTTTTTACTTTATATCTGACATTTGAACTGTACAATTACGTCCAAGGTACATTTGCACACATCAAGAAAATACATCTATTCAAAACATAAATAAGACAGCTGAAGGATGAGTTTCCCACAGTTTACAGTTACTAAACTGCTTATGTAACATGCTACTTTTCTCACAATAGCTACTAGCTACTTTGTATTACCAGTGCCTGTATAATCGACATATGCTTTATAAACGAATCTGCTTGTATCTTAACACAGATGTCAGTCGTATTACAGAATGCGGAATTACAGAATTATTTGATCATGTCAGTGAGCTCTGGTTCTACAACAACACTGAAATCATTAAAACACGCCAATCAGCATTCATTCATCATTAACTTACAGAATCAGGCTGTCTTTATCCATTATTGCCAGCGTCAAAGAAGAGCTTGAATAAGAGTTTGCAGGCTTGACAAGCTGTTTTCTCCTTGTTGTTTAATGGCGAATAACTCCTTAGCAGCATTGACAAGCTGTTTTACCGCCTGCCTGACACCGTGTTGTAACAAATAGTGATGTCCGGTTCGCGAACGAATTGTTCCATTTAACCGGTTCTTCTTAGTGAACCGGTTGAACCAGTTCACCAAAGCCCGCGATAGACTTAACGCCATTACGCCATCGCCAATGACGTCATTACGTCGAGCGTAAAAGAACCGGTGAACCGTTTTTTTCAACCGGTTTATTGAATCGAACTGTCCGAAAGAACCGGTTCGCGGAAAAGAACCGAACTTCCCATCACTAGTAACAAATGAACAACGTCACGCCTCCAAACTGAGGGCGCGGCCATCTTGAAATGGTCACATGACCAAGAATGGGCGGGCGGGACTTAAAGATGTAGTTCACCCAAAAATGAAATTTCTGCGCTCAGTTACTCACCCTCAAATTGTCACAATGACATTATTCTCTTTCTTCTGCTGAACACACCCACAAAAAAAAAAAGAAATTAAAAAAGACAATTTCTGGACCCTATTTTTTCACTGGAGACCATCAATTGTTCGATTACCCATATTCTTTAAAATGTCTTCTATGTTCAACAAGAAAGAAACTCATACAGGTTTGGAATAACTTGAGGGGGAGTAAATGATCACAGAATTAGAATTTTTGAGTGAACTATCCCTTTAAAGAAAACCATCAGATAAACTATTTTCCTTAGTTTTGGTAGCATTGCATTTTATGTTTTCTGTATTTTATGCATATTGAACGCCTTTATTGTCATTGTATTTTTCTGTATACAACGAAATTAGGAGCACTACTCCTGACTGGTGTTAGAAAAACAAACATATAACCACAGACAATAAATACTATAAGACTGTACAGTACAATTTTACAAGTAAATACAACAAGTGACTGAGTCCTGATATTCACATTGAGCAATCCGAGTAAAGTGACCATTTATAGTATTGCACGTTGGCCTCCACCTTGATATGCACAGTAAGTTTATACAAAATACAATTTAAATGGAATGAGTAACTGGTGATTTAGTGACTAGAGATAGTATTGCACATTGACATATAGTGTATATACACCTTTACTGCAGATATAGTGTTCACATTTAGTAACCAGATATGGTATTTAACCCTGACATACTATTTAGTGCATTATTTGAAGTTCTGATAAATAAATTGTTCAGATAGTGGTATTGCAGATTGACATACTGCATATTGTACAATATTGTATACTGCATGTTGTATAGCAGCAGTATAGACAGACGAAATTTGAATGAAATAAGTGACTGTAGTTAAAAGAATAACGTGGTTGGAATAGTATTTTGGCATTTGTGCATTTTATGAGTTTAACGTCCTGATAGCAACTGGGAAGAAACTGTTCTGTAAGTGAGTGGTTTTTGCTCTTAAGCAAATTAATTTAATATGTATTTTATATAGAATTCTGTACAACCTAGAACTGCGTTATCAATCACAAAAGATTCACTTTATTAGGTTTCTAGATAATGTACAAATGTACAAAATATTTTAAATATACAAAGCATTTCATTCTTAGCTAATCAAAGACCGGGCAATTTACTTAATTACAAAATATTGCCCTCTGTCACTGTTCATTATTGTAACGTTATCAATATTGTTATTAAAATATGTCATACAAAAAAAAAATAAAAAAAGGTCAAGATCACACTCTCTTTACAGTGCATGGATTTCATTTAGTCATCCAATTATTTTAATTTAAACCAGAGGTTTTCAAACATTTTGTTTCCAAGAACCTTAAAATATGATGATGCTTTTCGAAGGTCCCTCTTAAAAAAAAGATATAGGCAGCTGTATAATGTCATTTATAAATGATTCATTCCATCTGAAAAAAATGATTTCAATTCAAATGTATTGGTTTAGCTCCTTTACAATAAATATCCTTCCAAAACAGCTTCACAGTTAACTTGGACAGCCCTAAAAGTAAAATATTTTATTTGCTCTGAATTTATTTGCAGACCTTATAGCAGCCCCCAGACTCCAGTTTGCAAAGCCCGGTGTAAAATGTGTACAAATAACAATTAAACTTTGGTAGGGTACTTTGAAACATAAAATTATTTACAAATTGAAATGCAGCCATTGAAATTTGAATGTGAACAGCAAAAGTAGTAAACAGACTGTTAAGACTTCAATTTGAAGCAGAAATAGAAAATCGGAACCTTGCTTACACATAAGTAAGCAGATTGATCCCATTATTAGTTACACATTAATACATCGATTCATAGATAAAACACAGATCTTTTGATCATCCTAAAACAGTACAAAAATATGATTTTGCATCCTCATGGCTGCTGCTGGTACTGGCCCTCAGTGGCTGTGTAGAAGTCATCTAGTACACTCTGAATATAGTCAAACGTGGGCCGGTCGTCTGGTTTACTCTTCCAGCACATGGTCATGACCTCATAAAGTTCAGTGGGACAGTTTTCAGGACGGGGCATCCGGTAACCTCTCTGAACAGAGCTCATGACTTCACTGTTACTCATACCTGAGACAAAGAAAAAAGAAAGAAGTGAAAGTGTAAGTGGACTGACAGAGAGAAAGAGAAAAACTGAGTAATAAATGTCACAAGGAGTCTTTTCAGAAAGGTATTTTTGTCTATGATTACGGCAAGACACCACAGGTGTTTTAACTAATTTTAACTAATAGACATCACCATACTTTCCTAGTTGATTAATCACAGTACAAGACGACAAAAAGTTTTTTTTAAATATGCAATTGATACATTATCTAATTAAATATGCACTCATTTGCATACATTTTCAGGGCAGAAACTGTAACATTGGATAAAGCCAGGTTCAAAATTCCTGTTTCCTTTTGTGACATTAAAGATTGTTACAGAGGGAAATTTTAATATCTCTTTTTATCACTTCATAAATCAGAAAATACTTGAATAAATGTATTAAGTTTTTAGGAATAAAATGTTATGTAGATCAGATGAATGGTATATGAACAAATATGAAAAAAAAACTTCAGAATACAAAAAGGAATACAACTGTAAAGTTTGGTTTATGTAAGTGCTACCAAAGTGGAGATTTCTGGCTCAGTGCAATAAATGAGACAATTAAATGTATCCTTTGGATGCTTTCTTTCCACCAGTCTTAAGGAAGACGTAATGAAAGCAAAATAACCCAAAATCTCAAAACTGACCAGTGCATAAAAAGGTTTTGCCTTTATAGCGTTTTGCCTTAAAGGAGTCATATGATGCTATTTCAAGTTTTCCTTTCTCTCTGGAGTGTTACAAGCTGTTTTTGAATAGATAGGATCCCTAAAGTTGCAAAGACTAAAGTCTCAAACCCAAAGAGATATTCTTTATAAAAGGTAAGACTCGTCCACGTCCTCCTAAAACGCCACCAAATGCACAAAATAATGTTCTTTTTTAGCAACGTCACATGACCCCTTTAATATAGCTTAATATAGAGCTAAATATATTTCTCAACCAATTACATTCGGTAACATTTGCATCACAGAAATGACACAATTCACAGTTTCAGATATTTCAAACTGAGCAAAACTGAAATGCTTAAAGTATTTAACACACTTTGACCAGTAGATATTGAAAAAGTCCTGACAAAAGAATCCGTTTTGTGACATGTAGCTCTCTCTTGGAGGAGTAATGCTGATAGCTCTCAATATACTGGAGTTGGAATGCTTTATTTAAACTCAAATGTAATCAAGGTGCCATTAACACAATTCTATTACCTGGATACGGAATTTTCCCGTATGTTATAATCTCATACAGGAGAACCCCAAAGGACCACATATCTGATTTGATGGTGAAAGAACCGTAGTTGATGGCCTCGGGTGCCGTCCATTTGATAGGAAATTTTGCTCCTGAGACACAGAACACACAAATTCACACAGATCAGTCAGGTCTGCTGATGCAGGAAAACTATCACAACATCAGTGTGATTAACAGCCTTAGCAGGCACAGTCTGGAGCGGCGTCTGACATAGTAATGCTGTAGAGAATGACTTGTCCATCCAATATGCTGCTAAACCACTGAAAGGTGTCACACACTCACCTTCTCTGGCTGTGTATTGGTCATCCTCAATTACTCTGGCCAGGCCAAAATCAGCTATTTTGCACAACAGGCTGTCTGAAACCAGCACATTAGCTGCTCTCAGGTCTCGGTGGATATAATTCTTCTTCTCAATGTAGGCCATACCTTCAGCTATCTGCAGAGACACACACACACTCAGCATCACTAACACATAAACAAACATACACTCAGTTTGAGGTCAGTAAGGTTTTTTTTAAATTGACAGTAAGACAGTAAAGACATTTATAATGTTACAAAATATTGTGTATAACAAAAATAGTGCTCTCTTTTTAACTTTCTATTCATCAAAGAACACTGAAAAAAGTTTTCACAAAAATATTAAGCAACACAACTGTTTTCAACATTGATACTTTTAAGAAAAGAAGCACCAAATCAGCATATTAGATCTGATCATGTGTCACTGAAGACTGCTAAAAAATCAGCTTTGCCATTATAGGAATAAATTACATTTTAAAATCTATTCAAATAGAAAAAAGTTATTTGAAATTGTAATAGTACGTCACACTATTACTGTTTTACTGTATTTCTGATCAAATAAATGAAGCCTTGGTGAGCATAAGAGATTTCTGACAACCCAAAACGTTTGAACAGTAGTGCATATGCATGAGGACATAAATTAGCCAGTTAGTAGAGTAGATCATACTAAATCAGCAGTTTATGTTTTTTTTTTTCCCCACTTCAGAAATGGGTGTAGTCGCATTTCTCACTTAATTTTAACAGAGTAAAAGCTGCTTTAACAAAGGGAAAATTGCGTTGTCTCACTTCCCCACTGGCATCCTCTTTCACTCTCTGAAACAGGATGTGCAATTTTGCCATTTAGTGCTGTTTCACCAGAAATCAGATCTTTAAGTCCTTAAGACTCATACCGAAAACAAACGTTCTTCCTTGCATTTAGTTTTTTTTTTTTCCCCAAAAGACAATTAAAAGGATTGACTTTTGAAGCAGTTGGTTATGACTGTAAATACTGTATGATGTCCATGACACTTTAACCAGCCATTTTTTTTTCTTCATTTTTCCAATTCATTAATACAAGTTACATCATCGTTATTCTGGTTGTCACATGATATAGAAATTCGAACTTAAACTTAAGATTTGTAAATCTAATGAAATCTTTCATTCTTGAGAAAACAACTGACTGACTGATTATTCTTTGTGTTTAAATATGCAGAGACAAGAGAATCTGTTCCTCTTTTTCTTCAACTAATGGAAAAAGTGATGTCAGCCTCGTGACGCAAAAACCCATAAATACGAAAACCCGTAAACCCCAGGAATACGGAAATGGACAGCTAAGAGAAGAGAAGGCTAATTCATGTCTTGAACCAATATTTTTACCTGTGCAGAAAAATCTATTAGCTTCGGTAACTGTACTTTGCAGCCAGCCGCACTTTTCAAGAAATCCAATAAGCTTCCTGTAGAAAAAGAAAGTCGCTGAGAATACAATTTTCTTGCAACTACAGATTTCTTCAACTGTAACTCTCATAGTTCTCTCATTTTAATCATTAAAAGAGTATGTATTTCTTGTACCATTTGCCATGAACTCAGTGATGATGTAGATGGGCTCAGTTTTGGTGACGACAGCATAGAGGCGCACGAGTCTTTCGTGCTGTAAGGTTTTCATTAGGTTGGCCTCCTCTAAGAAAGCCTCCACTGACATTGTGCCCGGCTTCAGTGTTTTTACCGCCACTTTTGTGCTGTTATTATAGTAGGCTGCAAACAAAAAGAAACCACAATTAAACACGTGACACTTCTCTGTGGTTATTAATAATCTTCCTGTTCCAATGCCACAGTCGCAGTCCAGCCACAAAACAGCGAACTAAAGGCCAAGTCTAACACGAAATGCAACCATGCAACAGACAATTCATCAGCATAGATGTAGGAACTGTCAGTCGGTCCTGAAAAACCTTTTATAGGAACTGACTCCTCCGAATCCTCACATTTTATCTTATGCAACTCACAGCTGTCCATAAACTACATTTCTCAAAAGTGATGACACAGTGCCACTATGTGAAGGACAGTCAGTCCATAAACTACATTTCTCAAAAGTGATGACACTGCCACTATGTGAAGGACAGTTACTGACCACAGAGAAGCGAAAATACATCAGATATGTTGCACTGTGTTTTGCATGTGCTTATCCCTTGTTCCACTTAAAGGGGTCATATGATGCGATTTCAAGTTTTCCTTTCTCTTTGGAGTGTTACAAGCTCTTGGTGCATAAAGAAGATCTGTAAAGTTGCTGATCTTTAAAAAAGCATCATATGACCCCTTTAAATCCTATTTCCCTGTTCATCATTTAAAATTACAGACAACTTTCACATCTTTGAAGTGGTTTGCATACTAATTATCTACTGGACATGTGATGCCTAAATGTGCATCTTAGACGTTGAAATCTAATAGTTTGTCTAAAATTTTGCTGAGATGTAAAAGTGAGGCAAGCCAAACAGAAGGAAGTCTTTCCGTTGAGTGCGTCTGTCATCATACGGACTTCTAGTGTGTTTAAAGGGGTCATATGATGTTGCTAAAAAGAACATTATTTTGTGTATTTGGTGTAATGAAATGTGAGGTCTGCCAACAAGGTCACAGGGCGCCAAAGGAAACATCTTGGCCACGGGCGTTCGAGAGCCATTTGTATATTTGCTAAGGCCGCTTCCTGCAATTCATCATGTCAGCTGAAAGGGAATAATAACGAAATCCAAATGCAAATCCTGCATCAGTTGCATAGCAGTTTCCTCCTCAGATCTGACTGATAAGAGTTGCGTCTCTGCCGGGTATCAGTCTGAGCTACAAGGGAGCCATTCATGTTAGCCAAAAGCCACAGCAGGAAGACTTGAGATTTGAATGAGAGTTGTCAAAGCTTTCATGACTCAAAGAATTAGATAATAACAATAAACCTACACATGTTCAAAGGTTGATTAATCGATACAAACACTGAAGGATGTCACTTCTAAGCCCACTGAAGAGCACATAAAACGGTGGGGTTTTTTGATCAAGCGCTTGGGGGATCTTAGAGACGGAGAGAATTTGAATAACAAGACCATAAGGAAGAGCGCAACACTTTTGCTTTAGTTTAGCAAAGTTGAACATGTAATGGACTTCTGATTAAGGAAACACTCCATGGCTAAATGAATGTTTGTGACTTCAGGCAAATTCCAGATCCTTAACTCACCCATCCACACCTCTCCAAACTGCCCTGCTCCGAGCTTCTTCACCATCTTTATGGATTCTTTAGAGATTTCCCATGCATCTTTGTCCCAAGGTTTCTGTGCTTTTGGCTTCTCACATGGTTTCTCTAGTTTTCGACATAATCCGTCTGCTTGTTCTGTGACAAAATGATGCACATCCTTCTTATTTTAGCAAACCATACATAAACACACATAAATAAACATAATATAAATGTATATGTAATATATAACAATACATTTATAAATGCATTAAATATATGTATATATAAAACATGCATTTTATTAAAAACACATATACAGTACATGTTATTATTATACATTTATACATGTATAAATAAATGAAATACATTTGATATTAAAGCATAGAGTACATTTTATTTATGCAGCTACACAGTATATTATCGTTTATTTTTGGCATCCTTAGAACTTACTGTGGTAATGTTTTATCATGCTGTTGATGTCATTGAATGTGATTTTTGGAGAGATGTAGTAGCCTCCATTATCCAGAGATCTGATTTTATAATGCTTAACAACATCCTGCCCCTGAGCGTCCGCATCTCTGATTGACAGTGAATAACTTCCTGTTCACAACAATGCAGAATATGTTACACCACAAATTTATAGTTCCACAAAGGACACTAGTAGACAGTAAAGAGTGTGCACCTTTTGAAGTTTCACTCTCCCGGATGAGGTAAGACCCAGGTTTGTTAGCAGGCGCCAACAACTGTCTTTCTGCATCCTTCCGTGTGATATCTTTGAAGAACCATCTAAATTGCGTGCATGGTCAATCAAAACATACCAAGATGAAAAAGATAAAGTGCTCAAAGATGAATACATATATAGTTACACTTGTACAGTAATTCATCATATTGAGCAGCACTCACTCTTCTGTTTCCATAGTGTCTGCTTCTGCAACATAGTTTGAAGGAATGAATCCTTCCTTTCTTGTGGTCAAAGACCTTGCCTTCCACCACTCTCCATGCCTGACAAAAAAAACATCACACTTCACATAAATATCACACTTCAAATAGAGCAACAACAACACAATAACAGGCAACTAAAAATAATAGATGACATTCACTCACTCTTCAAGAATCTTTAACTTCTCTCCTTTTTTAAAGCCCAGATCATCAGCATGAATGGCGTCATACGGATACAAAGCAATGGCTATTTTTTCCTTTTCTGTATTAAATAAATAAATAAATATAAATAAAAGTAATTTTACAATAGCATCAGAATGTGGAATAAAGCTCATCAGACCTACCTTCCATTTTTTGGAACACCTGACCAGGCAGGAGACCGGTAGTCGGATTATTCTGTGAAATAAAACATCCCATATAATCATGATATAATCATGACAATGGTATTAAAAACCCTTCTCTTTAGAGTCTATGAAAGTCAAAACAGCAAAATTAATATTGACAAGATGTTTTCCCCCCATCACTACTCACTACTTACTATATGAGGCTTATAGGAGGTTGGATCTCTCACATATACAGTTTGGTCGGTACGTACTGACTGGTGTTTGTTCCCTTCAAGCACACCTCTATTTTGGTCACCATTCAACTTGGATTTTTTACAACCCATGTTTCCTGCAAGAAGAAGATTAACCATTGTAATTTACTGAAATATGAACAGAAATTGGAATTAAATCAAAACAAACCAAACCACAATCATGAAACACTTTTACATCGAAATACCTCTACAGTGGATTACATAATTATACCTATACAATAAGACTTATATGTGACATTGGACCACAAAACCAGTCATAATTGAGATTTATAAGTCGAATAAATAAGCTTTCCATTGATGTATGGTTTATTAGGATACGACAATCTTTGGCCGAGAGATACAACTATTTGAAAATCTGGAATCTGAGGGTGCAAAAAAATCTAAATATTGAGAAAATCGCCTTTAAAGTTGTCCAAAAAGCATATTACTAATCAAAACTTAAGTTTTAATATATTTACAGTAGGAAATTTACAAAAATATCTTCATGGAACATGATATCCTAATGATTTTTGGCATAAAAGAAAAATCAATCATTTTGACCCATACAGTGTATTTTTGGCTATTGCTACAAATATACCCCAGCGACTTAAGACTGGTTTTGTGCTCCAGGGTCACATACAGTATAACTATAGATGTCACTGCTTCGGTATAGATAATTAAAATCGACACAACTGATGAGGAGGATATTCCAGACCCATGCTCTTTCCCTGAAAAAAGACATAAATTATACTTCTTTTACATAGCAGATACAATACAAAACATTATTTAATTTAAATATGTATTAATATTTATTAATCTGAGTATTTGATGATTGATATGTAAAACTGATTTTTAAAATTATTTTATTATTGCTTTTTGAAAAAAAAAAAAAGAAATAATCATACTACAAAAGGAAAACATTTATTATATTTATTACATATATTTTTTTATTATTTAATATACATGACTGAATATACAATATGATTAATAATAATAAGTATTATTATTATTAATGACCTTATATATATATATACACATACATACACACACACAAAGTTGTTTAATCGCCGTTTCATTGCTAAGATACATATTTCTCACATGAGAATGTATGGTTGTTATTTATGTATATTCATTAAAGGGGCTGAATATATTTGGGGAGAGGAAAATAACTTTTTTTTTTGTTTAAAATACATATTTCATGATGAATTGATCATTAAATTGATCCATTAAAAACATTTAAAGGCTCGTTTTAGTCTTTAAACTAAAATGAAATAAAAAAAAGCACATTACAATTCATGTGGTACCTAAATTCATAACCAACTAAGTCACAGAGAACTGTTTTTGACGTGTGCTCATCCAAATAGGTCAGCTGACGAGAAGCAATGAGTCACTCGGTATAAGATTGCCAATATATATTAAGAGGCATCATTGGAATAACAATTTGCCCTCTAAATAATAACACACCCTCTCAACATGGTATAAGGAATACTTGCAGCTTGGAAGACCCAACGGAAGGTCAGGTGAACACATTAGAGCAAATATTACACCTCTAAGCAATGCCCTATTAAATACAGTATAATGCATGTGTCAAGATGGTGGAGAGCTATTCAAGGTTAGAGTTTCATAGCCGAAGAAACCAAGGAATTCCCCTGCAAAAAATATGTCCTTTGCTTAAGTATATTGGGGAGAGGTAATCATTCTCTATTAAAATCAAGTGTAGGGGTCATAAATGCTGGATGTCAGCTTTACCAAAGCAACAGCAACAGGACTATCAGGAGAAAATGCATGTACCATAAATCTCTTGGGCAATGGACTTTAAGTCAATGAGCAGCAAACACTGAATTACTTCATTTCCTGTTCTAGGTTACAGTTCGAACAACAATTAAAAATAGATATAATGAATATATAGGAAAAGAGACAGATGGCAGTGTGAATTTCTAAAACAATACCAAAACTTGTTTTAAAAATAATATTTAATTAAGAAATAAATATATAAATAAATAATTGCATCCTATATTTTGACCTAGCATTGCCCTCCCTCTGGGAAATTCTGACAAGATTGTTTGCCAATTCTTTCTGCATTTTTTGCTATTTCAGGAAATGTTTAACACTGTTGCCTTTTGACCAAAGTTTGAGCTCAAAGTAGTATACCTTTTCCTAGCCATGATTAAGTCTGCGTACTTTGATAACATCTTAAAGTCCACAACCGATCATTCTATATCGCTCAAAGCAACAGACATTGTTCTGGTTATATTTAGCCTGCAATCCATGTGATGTCAGAAGTAATAAGGCAGAAACAGGGGTAAAAAGTGCCCTCCATTGTACTGAAGGTGAAATCATTAAAGTTGGTTAAATGGCTAAAGAGCACTAGGCTGAAATCGTGTGTGTGACTGTCCTGGACTCTACTGATGTGGCAGTATTTTTAGATGTCAGCAGGAAACTAGTAACAAGGCTATAATGCTAGATTAATGCAAGAGCAAGGAGGCCACTGGGGCTGCACACTTCCTCCTCTGACCAGAGTCTCTAGGGTGTTCAGTAAGACAGGAAAGACAGAGACACACAAAAGACCTCTCAACTACTTCTGAGTTTCAGTCTATAGTCTGCTCGTAAGAATGCTATATGTACCTTGAGATTATCTTGTTGAATGATGAAACTTAATCTAGGCTATTGAACTCTGGTTTTTGTAGCCTGCAGATATAGAAATCTGAGGCTGGAGGAAGGACAGTAAGTGAATAGGCCTAATTTCTGAGAAAGAAAATATTGAAAAGGGCGTCTCTGCAACAACTCAGGTCAAGTGTCATGGTGTAAAAACTCACCAACTTTAGCTAAAAAAAAAAAAAAAGAGGGAAGCATGCCATGAGAAACCCGCTGACCTTTACGTAAAGTTGATATATTTTACATTATGTTTTCATGCAAGACACAAACTGTAAAATGGAAAATAAATGCAATATTTGAAAGAAAAACAGAGATGTCCTAATGCAATTTTAAAGGGGTCATATGATGCGATTTCAATTTTTCCTTTCTCTTTGGAGTGTTACAAGCTCTTGGTGGATAAAGAAGATCTGTAAAGTTGCACAGACTAAAGTCTCAAATCCAAAGAGATATTCTTTACAAAAGTTAAGAGTCAGCCATGCCTACCTAAAACGGCTCGTTCTAACACGCCCCCACATGTCTACATCACTATGTGGGAAGATTTGCATAACGCCGCCCAAATGTTCACGCAAAGAAAGAAGGCGTAACTTTTATTCTCGCTGTAGTATTGTTGTTACCGCCGCCATGTCGTGAAGGCGCTGTGTGTTTCGTAGTGAAAGCGAAACTACTTTGTTTGGCATTCCAAATGAGAACGATATGGCTTCGTCATGCCTGGAGCTGATCCGTGCTGGTCGCTGAGGAAATACATCAACTTC